TCCACATATTTTGATGCAAGTAGTTACTCAATTCATTGTTTTATGGGAATAATTTAAACACCTATTTTAATAGTTTGACACACATTTCACATGAAATCCTCTAACCATTCAAATAAAGAGACCTATTTAAGTTTTGTTAACAAACCTAATATGTTTTGGGATCTGAACATCAACTGTGAAATAATGATCTCCTCTTCTGGACGGCTTATTAATGTTTGGAACACCCATATTTCGCAATCGCAATTTATCTCCAGGCTGAGTTCCTGGAGGAATATGAAGATCCTTCATACCATCAGCAGTATTCACCTGACATCATTTATCATTATCATTCGTTTGTCTTGGAAGGAGTTGAAAAGAAACAAAATAATCACATAGCCACATGTTATATAGTGACGATCAGTCAATTACTTTAAACATGACAAGACTAACACAAAAAATATTTTATTCAAGATTTTGTTATAGCAGTGTAACGAAAGATAGCAGAAAAGTATGCATTGGCACTAACATAAATGATAAATCTGATATCAATCTTCTCAAAACGTTTACAATAGCACAAAATTTCTCATCATATTTTCTAATTATTTTGTACCTTTTCTCCGCAATTAATAAGGATGACCAAATAATTAAACTACAGCAAGCACTATGCTTAACACTATGGGATTTTACCTGCTTAACAGTCCCTAGGATGGCTTCAGTAAAGTCAATTGCAACTTTTGAGTATAGATTCATTTTATCCCTCCGAATTCCTTTCTTCTCCTCAATATGGACAAACAGATACAAATCACCAGCTACACCCCTGCACATAAAAACCCAGAGAGAGAAATCTTCTGTAAATAAATCCCGACATTTTAAATGATGTAAAGAACCACAGTCATAACTACCAAATATCATGAATAAAGCATAGAAATAACCATCTACATTTGTGACTTGTTAATTAGATGAAAGAAGCCATGTACATTTTTAAATATTTAGACAAAATATATAGAAAATAAGAGGATATAAGTCTATAACGCGATCTGATCTTTTAAATGCATAACCATGATATTACTTACCAATAACATATTCATGATCAACTATAATTCACAAAAGACGGCAAAAAATATGGTTTATAAATGAACAAGAAAGCGCACATATATTATAGGGTATCAAAGAGGGAGAAACGTTATAGGCCACCATTATCAAAATACAATGGAACATACATTTTACTAACAGGCTAAAAGTATACGCACCTCATCTGGTCAATATTCCCCTCTCCTCGAACTTTCATGGTGGACTCATCATCAATGCCAGGTGGAATAATGACTTCAATAGTCCGCTTTGCTTTAACTTCACCACGACCATTGCATCTTCGGCACCGATCAGTAATTATTTTCCCTTCACCACCGCATTTTGGACAGGCATTCACCTAGAGTTCATAGACAAATCATCTACACATAATGTCAAAGCAAGATTCGGAATTGAATCTCTAGACTTCTATTCTAGGCTGATAAGAAAATTCAAATACATCCCACCCGCAACTATACCACAAGACAGACACTGCTACTTAAACAACAGATAAAATCATCCAAAATCCAATAAAGAAATCTAACGGTAACAGGAACTTAATCAGTATACCTCATAGACTACAGTTTCAATGCGAAAATTGATCTCCAGTGAGATGTAGCAAATATTCTGTTACTAACATGGACAACTGAAAATTCTCTTTAGAAATCTATGTACCACGACATTATCCTTGAAACTATACATGGCATATACATTTAATCATCAAAACTAATGTTTCAACTAGAATATGAAAATATGATGTCCTCCTCCATTTTCATCATCCCAATAGTTATTTCAAGTACAACAACAACAACAACATACCCAGTATATTCCCAACAGGTTGGGGTCTGGGACCCTTGTAATTATACAAGGAGGCTGTTTCCGTAGCGACCCAAGGTGCATTGCGCCGTTTGATATATTTTTTTTTTCTAGAAACTTCACTAATAGAAGAAGCACTAGAATTTAATTGAGCCATTTTGATCTAGTCCATTATTAGCACTATGCCAGGAGAATTGTCAACAATGACTCTTCCAGCTCCATTTGCAATGGACAAATATATATAGTTATTTCAAGTAAAATACCAAAAACAGAAACATTTGCAAATGGTATTTATTTAATATATGAATCGACTGTACACCTTCTTGGGTTAATATTACTTAAAGTTCATCGGTCATAGTAAGTAGCATGTCCCCTAAGATTCTTTCAACTGTTTCATCTCCCAAGCATGTTTGGCCTTGCAGCCAAATCACAACCGGAAACACAAAATTAACAGCATTATCAAACACACCAAATGTAGGATCGGAGATATAGGCTGAACTCTCAGCTTGGAAGAACATTCATCACAGAATAAAGCTTTACTGATCATCTAAACTAGCTGTTCTCCACCAAACAATTTACCCTTTTTTTATGTAATCCTTGGGATTGACCAAAAATCCTACTGGGGTTCACCTATGAACTTATTGAGACCCTAGAACAAGAAATGTAGGCCGAACCCTGCCTTCAGATGTTTAGTGAAACACAAATTTATCAAACTTCACACACACCCATGTTATTTTCACCAATTCTCATACAATCATATTCCACAAGATTATTGCATGGGGTACCTGAGACATAACGCCAAAAGGTGTCTTCTGTGTTTTTACTTCCCGTCCACTACCTCTACATTCTGCACACGTCTTTAGACAATCTCTGGATTTTGCGCCCGTTCCACCACAACTCTCGCATGTCTCGGAACAGGGGACTTCAACTGTACGCTTTCCTCCAAAAATTGATTCCTCAAAGCTCAAATATATATCATGTCTACATTGTAATTCAATCAAGGAGTAATACATTATTTATCATGATGAAGATCCCATCAAATCTTAAGACATAAAAAAATAACAACAATCTACATGTGAAATGAAAGAGAAATCATACAGATAAAACAGTTCAGGCAACATAAGAGTTACTTGGTCTTAACAACAATCTCCATTTTAAATTTGAAGCCTCATATAGTAAATATATAGAAATTAACTCAATCAAGCTTTCCTGGGGCATTAAGACCAAAATGCCCTTAAGTCGCAACGATCCCTTGCAAAGAAATGATTTGCTGACATTTTGAAAAAATCAAACATCTCCGAGATAGATAGAGGTAGGAATTTCTCGAACGACCACACTCCTATATGCCAGGAGTCCCTTGATGAGAAGGGTGTCTGTTTTAAAGCTCAATTATGGGCCAATTTGATTGAAACATAATAGCCCCATGTGGTTTTCGAATTGAAATAATTGATGGCCTTATTAACATTATTTCAAATCAGGTTTGTTTTACCCAACCTTTAGCCTGAGAAAATCTCACATCCATCATTTTGAAACTTAAAAACCAAGACACAATCATTATCCATTACAATTTAAACATGTAGACCTCAATCACAAAACAAATTATCCTTTTCTATTTATATATTTCAATAGGTAGAAATATAAATTATTCAACATCTTCAGAACCATTAACTTAATACAAAATATAAACACAACCAAACAGGGGTCGTGCAGCACGTATTTCATTTTTTCGCAAAAAGGCACAATACAACCTCATAAACTAAACTTTCGGTACAAGCGGAAATTGAATCTGTAAAGAAAACCAAACAAAGGTAATACCTTTATAACTTATACGAGTATAAGACCAGCAAACCTATATTTAAGGACTGAAAATACATATCTAACACAAATCCCACGGATAATGTCAAATAACAGATAATGCAGAAAATCCACTAGACTATTACCGAATGTCAAGTTTCTGATTGCGGCTCTCTCTAAAATCAAAATTGAAGCCTCTTTGTGCACCACTTCCTCCAAAAAAGCTATTAGATGCACCACTTCCTCCAAAAAAGCTATTAGATTCACCAAAATATTCAGAGAAAACTTCAAAGGGGTCAACCTGAAACATGAAGCATGCAACAAGTATTTGGGTTGTGAATCAAATTGCTGGCAAGGAAAGAAGATGAATTAAGTAGGGTAACTTAACAAAATACACAGGTAGAACTTAAATTGCTACCCATAATTAAAAGACTGGTGGAAATGGGAAGATGTGCAAAACTCACCCCTTGTGAACCAGCACCCGTTGCATCAAATCCTCCCCTTAAACCTTCCTCCCCAAACCGATCATACAGAGATCTTTTCTCAGGGTCTGAGAGAACCTACACAAATGCTTTGTTATATATATATATATATATATATAAACAGATAATATTTCCTGATAACATTACTTATGCCGAAAAATCTGGATTTAGCCATCACAGTAGTTGAAATAAGACCATCAACTGGCAATAATACGATAATGGAATGAGCGACACTACAGTATCTGGCCCAAGAGCAATTGGTTTTTTCGAGCAAAAAATGAATGAAGGAAAGCACACATGCATTAGTGCACGTGAAAACAAGGGGAAAGAATTAGCCTATACATGCAAGAAATAATGCAAATTATTTTCCACGGGCATAAAAGAAAAGGACAAGTATCGAAATCAACTATGGCGGCAATATTAATGTTACCTCATATGCAGCACCTATTTCTTTAAACTTTTCTTCAGCTCCAGGACCTTTGTTCATATCAGGATGATACTGCATCAACACACGAAGCGTGGTAATAAACATAAGTTAGTCACAATTGTAACTATCCACAGGTAAACCAAACAACATTGATCAAACTCTGCGAAGACACAAGACAAGTGTATAACCCAGGCAAAACCCGGTAATGCATCCGGTGCCCGTACCACATAATGACTGGTAAATACTGGTGCCCATTATAAGCAAATTTTCTTCATACTCCAATAAATAAATATGTAGGCACATTACACCTCAAGACACCAACAAACTGTACAAATATAACCGTAGGCACATACTCCTGAACAAACTAACCAACTGTATAGAACGACAAATAAAATATGAGAGTCTCATCGTCCCATACTTGAACCAATTATAGTTTCATGAAAAATATCGCAAGCACAAAAAAGACAAGTATACACACCTTCCGAGCAAGTGAACGATAAGAGGCTTTGATCTCTTGCAAAGTGGCATTCCTACTGACATTGAGAACTTTATAGTGATCAGGAGTGGAGGACCTTTTAGCCGCAGAGGCTGCAACAAAGGGAACAAAACGGCGACGTCTAGTACTGTTGAGCTTGTTCGGGAAGATGGATGTAGACTTGAAGGACAAAACTGAGCCGGAGACTCCCAAAGTCTTGAACTTGAGGCAAGATTGGAAATTCGAATTGCAGGAGATGAAGCTAGGGTTTATGAGGTTTGAGTTAATGGAGATGAAATTGGGGTTTTGCGATACTTGCATCGCTATGGCGGAAGCTACTGGGATTGGGAAATGAGTGCCGGTGGGTGCTGGGCTTGGACTACGACGTAAAATTCCAAGTCAATTCATAAGAACAAGTTCATTTCTTTTAATCTGTGTTCACCATTGGTCTAACCAAGTTCAGCATCGTTTTAGCTCGGAAAAATTGATAAATTCGATGCTACATGTTGCGATACTGCCCCACAAGTTTTTTCACCTTTGATTTCACACACACCTATATGAGTGTGTGTGAATATATGCAAATCAAAGGTGAAAAGCATGTGACATCGAATCTTTCGAAAAAATTTCACTTTTCTACTTGTGTCACCTTTTTGTTTTTGATATTCAAAATTTCAACTTCTTCAATTTTGAATTACTAATAATATTTCAAATTATCGTTTTTGAACCTAGTGTCAAAAAGAATTGTTAAAAGTATCTTCAGCCGCTCGTCGTTGTCGCCACTCCTGGTGGCGGATTTCAACAAATTATATACAATTTTGAAAATCTCAAATTGATACTTATTCAATGGTACATTTTATTTTACCATACTATATCTCGAGATTAACCAAAATCGTTGTTAAATATTCAAAACAACTCAGTCAAAATGTGCCTAAAATCTTGACCGAGTGCTACCAAATATCTCATAATTGGATTTCATGAAATATACGTGAAATTTCAGAGTAATTCAAAAGTTGCGCTTTCAAACATACAAATGATGTAAGAACATATAAATTCAGAAAGCCAATAGCAATTGATGAACTTTCAGGGGAGCGTCTCACTCCTCCCCAGAACTCTTTCATTGAGAAAATGTTTGTCCAAATAGTACAACCAAGAATTATATAAGAAGACTCCCTCTTCCTAACCTACAATGTACTATACCATTCAACTACTCTTCTGGCCACGTCGTGAACTTAAAACTACATCTACGGTGATGCTCGCTCCAAGCACCTAAACAAGATATAACAAATGTCTTCTAAATCCCAATTGAACTAACATTGGAATATGAACCATCACACATAGAAACAAAAACCAACTCACAAGTACTCGATTGATTATTCAGTGTGTACTCTACTTGAGCAATAATTCTCTATAAAAGCTTAACACTCTATAAAGATGATAAAGTATTTTGTATACATTTATCCCAAAATGGTATATAGGTTCAAAAAGCCAATTTCCATATCTTGAATATCTCTACAATGAATATTCTTAATCTTGGTAAGTCGAGCACAATCCAGATTCATCTATCCATTTTTATGAGTCAGGTCTCCTTTTCTCTTATTACCATATGTAGCGCCACCATCTTACAAAAATAATTTTATTCAATTAGTATTGAAACATGGTAAGTTGACAATAAACTTAAGGAAATTCAGAGTGACCGAATCTTCCATTTTGTGTTTCGTGATCCGCCAAGGCAACCTTATTTCAAGAAACAATAGATAAGAGCAGTTATATTTTTGAATTAATGTTAAAATACTCATGATCTTACAATCTCCCCCATTGATATATAAATCGAAAACCCGTTTCTTTAACTTCACCTGCAAGGTTTATAAGAACAGAAACAAAAATAGCATATGTAATAGACAAGATTTTAAGGAACCTAAAACTTAACTATAGGCAACAAGGGAAATTGTTCACCAGAACAACATAATCATATTTCACCTAAAGTAGCAAAAATCAACCACAAAAGCCATCAAGGTGTTCGATCACCACAAAACAACATGAACCAGCCTAATAATTGTTTATTCAGTACCAGAGCAAATCAAACATAGTAAGTAAAAACATTAGAGCCTGATGAAGCATCATCCTATCCTCCCCGACATCCTCAACTTCTTTTTCCTCAGCATTCTCACTTGCCAAATCTTATTCTTCCTCCCCATGTTTAACCTGCAACTTCTTCTTCTCCTTAGATTTTGCCTTGGCAGTACTCTCCCTTTTTCGGTTTAGATGTTGAAACCTCCGAAGATCCTTGTGGATGGTTTGTATTAAGTGCGCCAAGAACTTCTTTGTAGTATCGACGCTGATAAGCCAATTTCTTTTTTGGCCCACCAATCTCAATAATTTGTTGAACAAGAAAATCTTCAAGGTTAAGGGAGACATCAGAAGCTTTCAGAAAAGGCTGGATCAAGTTTAGCTAATTCTAAATGGCATCTGACTTACCCGAAGCAGTGGTGAAGCATCAGGATCGACTATATTCTCTTCTTTGTCCTCTTTTATTACAATGTGAGGGCATGAGTCATGTTGATATTGGACGTCGGTTGTTTAGATTCCAACAGTAGAGAAAAACGCATCAGTCTTGGTCCTAGTGCTAAGAGCCAAGAGTTTGCTAGGTTGTGCAAGTTCATCACCAACACGAGTGTTAAGCTTCACCCCGTCAGCAGTAAGAACTCCATGGATACACAAGAAAAGGGCATAAGTTTATGGGGGGTTTGGTGACTCCAACAAATACATGATATCAAAGATCACAGAACCAACATCAAACATTTTCCCCAACAATAGACAATAAATCACACGAGCTTGAGATGCAGTAACACGCTGTGTATGAGAGATGGGGTTCCAATTCAAGGAGCTATCTTCTGAAGGGTATTTTCTTGCTCTTTGAGGCTCGTGACAAAGATTATAAGATTAATGCACTTTGAAGGTCGCCCCTCGAGATCAAAGTGACCCGACATTATTGACTAGGGATTCGGGCATCAATATCGTCACCTGAGTAATTGAACTTTAGTCCTGCCACGATTAAAATTTGGATAATACATAAAAGAGGGAGGGCAAAATAATCAAAATCACTACAGCAATTCGGAATAACAATAGTTGCAAAGAGTCATGCATAATTTCTTTCCAAACCGTTAATCCATTTAACAAATATTGGTTCAAATTGGTCGTCAGAGTGCAATTCCCTACCACGTGAGGCTTTCATCTACTCAATGTATCACTGTTGCACGACCAACTTTTCATCTGTTACATTGCAAAATTAAGCAGGACAACTTCGAATTTCTATAACCAGTTGAAGAACTTTCATTTGCATTATTCAAAATTGTTGTAGATTCAAATTGTGTAAGCCTTTTAGTATGTCGGTGTTGCAAATATTTCTAGAAGGAAGAAAAAAAAAATTAAAACACAGACTTATAGATAAAAGAAAACGCAAAATCACCAGCCACTCGATACCACCAATGAATTGGTCATCAGAAGGGATTGGATTGGGATTTGACAAGTCAACAAAAATTCATAGGGCAAAATAAAATTGCAATTATTGAACATTTGAACTAGCCCGTAGGAGAGACTCACTGTTCAACGTTGGTTAGCATTGGCCATGGTGCACATTTTTTTTTTAGTTTGTTAGGATGCCAATTTTTATTTAATTTTATTTAGGTGCGAATTTTTAATCATGATATTATCATATTTAGGACACATTGGTTGAATTAATAGTATCCAATATAGTCATATATGCAGAAATTTCGAAAGTTTGTCTGGTTCAAAATTAAATGAATAAAGATGATATTGAATATACCTAATAAAAATTTAACGAATGTAGGCATGAACCGTACAAAATGTGAACTCTTCTCTTTGAGATGAGGGATATGACTATTTTATGAATGTCGGCCAAACATATGTCGATTTCATTTATGAATCCACATGCTTGTGGTCCTTAGCCGCTCTAAACTATGGTGCTACCAAACAAAATTATAATGGTCATTGAATTTTAGACATTTTATTTTATTATGAAATAACCCTATCTAAGCATAAGAAGAAAAAAAAAAATCAATAGAAACAAAAATATTCCATTTGAATAAGTTTTTCATTAGAAGTTTAGATGGAATTTGATGGTTCCAACGACTATTTTTTCAACGATTTTTACCGTTAGAATTTTATTTCCAGCCACGTTTCAACGGTTGGAATCATCAAAATTCAATAGAAATTCCAATGGAAAACTATTTCTAACGAAGTATTTTGGTTGGTATTTCCGTTGGAATCCATTGAAAATTTCAACAAAAATAATATCATTGGAATATTGATTGAAATTATCGTTGGAATTCTATTGAAATATATTTCTGTTGAAACTTTTCGCTGCAAGTTCATCATTTTTTTGTAATGCATAATAATAACAGCAATATCGAACAATTTAATTAATGTTAGAGGAATAACAATTTCTCTTGTGTCTGACACACTCAGTATGTATATGTTTATAAAAAAATTATCATACTTTAAAAGATAATATAAATAAAATTGACATTTGATATTATAATTACTCATATTTGTTCAAATAATATAACATATCGATCGACATAATCCTAATGATTATGTTATGCCATACAAAAATTTATATAGTGGAAAAAGTAGAACCTCCTAGATATCGTAACTCTAGAAAGATCATTAATTGAATTTGGTTCAAAGTCCATGCACATTAATTGTCTCAATATCTAAATCTGGTTTGGATTGGAATTTTAGGTTGAGCCTATCACAATCGGCACACAAATAATATAATACTGGAATTGCAAAAATTGTGGGCTATTAAATAATTTATGTGCAAAAATATATCAGCGTCCATATATAGAAGAGATAATGAATGTTTGTTATATCGAACGGCGGTGCCGAAAATATTGAAAGATAGGCGCCTGTCATATGCAAGTGTTTAAGCCACTAAATTTATTTAGGTTCACCTCATTTATTCACACATTTTGACACAGATATATGAACATGGCCACGTGGAAATTGTAAATGGAATAAATTTTAAGCTACATTATAAATAAAATTGAATATAATTGAGCATGTGGAAGTTGTAAATGGAATAGATTTTATGCTACTTTTAAATTGATAAGAGGAAGGAAATTGAATATGAGCATACAAAAGGGAATCTGCTTAAAGTCCTTGTCACAATTGTTAGTACTNTAAATGACATTTTAGATATTTTGTATATATTTTTTTATTATTATCCTTATCTAGCTAATAAATATACCACGTCTTTTCATATTCACTCTTCATTTTTTCTCAAAACATCCACTTCTATTCTCACTAATGAGGGTTATTATTGCAAAAAAAAAAATTCTTAATTATTGTAAAATTTCTTAAAATGACACTTATTAAAAAAAAGATGGAGTATTATTTTCTGTTTTATAAGAAACTAGTTTGGCGCGTAAACTAAATCCGAACCCATCAAAGATCAAAAACAAAATCGATCACTTCTTCTAAATACAAACAAAACCATGAACTTACATGTAGTTGTAATCCAAGTTTACGTGTAAAGAAAAAAGTTCATAAAATTTAACTTCTGCCATTAAAATCATTACAACTTTTAATTCTTACATGAATTTACGCTAGACAGTCACATAATTCCAGCTACATAATATCAACTGTCGGGTCTTGAAACTGAGATGAGTCCAAATTCGGGGTCTATTGAAAAAAAAAATAAATCAATCATGTTAAAATCTTAAATTAACTAATTTTGTAATTCGACTTAAAAGCCACATGAATAGTCTCATAAACAAAATAATTATATGTGTGGATGAGTCCAGAACTAATATGTCATTTACCCTAAAATAATTTTGAAATTAATTATAATTTTTTCATTTACCGAAAATTGCACTGACAAGACAAAGCGGTAGAAAACCAATTTTCTTACAAATTCCAAATTATAGCAGCAACAAGAAGTGAAGAACTTGAATGGACAACAGCAGGAAAAAAGAAAAAGGAACAAGAAAAATGAAACTGAACAATCTGTACAATCTACTCTACTTTCTCCTATAATTTCTACCCTATTAACGCCCGCTTTCAAGCCATATCCCCATCATTTGCTAGCTTGAATCCCCCCGTTAAAGAACATGGGTCGAGCACCTACAATTTAGTCATAGTCTTATTTTTCAACTGATCAAATAACAATCGATATCCTCATCAGCATTTTGTGGTCCAATGGATTCCGCCAGGCACAAGGCCAACCTACACGAACCTAACGGTGTTGTTTTCTCTTCCTCGACTCTCGGCCGAGGCGCCAGCTGGCAAACGAACACCTCTAAGGCTTCTTTCATCCATGAATGGGCACAAGCTTCCCTAGCTTCGTTAACCGTCATCTGAAATAACACAATAGAAAAACCATATGAGGACTATATATTAATAGTTTTTCTTTTTGTTTTTGTTCGAGTGTAAAATATTTATTCCAAATTTGATGTAGCTCAATTCATGTTCGCCTTGACTAAAGCGCGCATTTAGACTCGAAAGAAACTAAAGGTCGAACCGAATTCAATCTTTAAACTTCAAATGCGAGATTCTCCAAACATACTAGGAACAAGTCTAACGTTGCACTACAATGCTACTCTACTTCAAAGGTGTGCAAAAATCTTGCTCCAATACTGCGCTACATTTTTGCACTACTCTGTACATATGAATAGCATTGCTCTACATGTATAGCCGACACTGTTCATCGCGCTACAATTTTTTTTCAATTTTTATTTACTTTTTAATTGATTATTAATTATTCTATATACTATTTTGACAAAGAGAAATACTATAACTACATAATATTGTACATATGTGTGTACATAACACTCACATTAAGTCGGTCTTATCAAAATAAAAAATCAAGTGAACCCCACTTCATGTGAATATTATGTATATCTCTGTATATTTATTATGTACATGTAGTACTTTTCTTTTACAAAATGTAGATTAATAAAATTGTTTATTTTACTACAAGAAAAAAATTAAATTTTAATTTTATTGTTGTATTTATATATATTTTTTGAACTTATCATGTTTCTTGTAGATTAAAACGTAGCGCGAATGACTGGATGAAAACTTCATGGGCATATCAGAGGATTGGAGATAGTCTAACTGAGGTTTAGCTAAGGATTAAAGCTTGGGCATACCCAAACTCGTCGGCGGACGTTTTTCTCGGGCCACGTGTCCAATTCCTCGGTGACCAATAAAGGGAACATCGAGCCCTCGTGATACTTCTCTTGGCTTTTGCTCTTGAATATCCATTCGCCTAGCTTTTCTCCGAGAAGCCCGATTACGCCGGCTTCCTCTAGAGTCTCTCGTGAAGCGGCTAATTCGATGTCCTCATCGAGTTCCCATCCACCCTAATGAATGTAATAACAAAGATTTTTTGAATCATGTTTATGAAGATAATGATAAATTTTTTCCAATAATTTGGCATCATTTGTGTAACTTATTGTACCTTTGGGAACATCATTCTTGGACTTTTTTGGGAGCTTATTAGAAGGATCTCTACATCTTCAATAAGAGTCCCATGGATTAGGTGAGATTTGTTGTTGTTTTTTCTGATCCTATATGGGATACATCTGCACAATTTTCANAAAAAAAAAAAAAAAATCGTTTGACAAATTAGGCACAAATATTATATTATTAACAATAAAGAAAAAGCTATTGAAAATGATCCCCAAACCAACCCTATGCAGCTCACCAGAAACTTCATTAATAAACAAATAAATAAAAAATAAATACAAATCCCTCAAATCTTGATTTCATATACATAACAACCAACAAACAAACACGTATGTCAATGAAAACAAAGAACCCACAAATCAATTCATCCTAATTGGAAAAAAAAAATACTTATCCTTAAGAAATACAAATCCGAGAACAAAAATACATACCCAACAACCTGACGAAATCCCTGATTATAACGCTGTAAATGCCTTCCGGTACGAGAAGGCAAGCACACCAGCTTCTTGATTTGCATAGTCATAATTACAAATTAAGTGTAAAGATGAATTTTTCCTCAGGAAATCAGAAACTATAAAATGAGGGGAGGAAAAAAAAAACAATCTCGTAATAAGCAAATACTGACTATTTTATAGAATTATGCGAATCTTGAGTTCAAAAACGGTTGTGGGTCGACCATGAAAATCGCAGTGTTAACGGAAATTGTTGGGTTGAAATTCGGGATGATGTTTTGATTATAAGAGAAACGAAATAAAATGGATGGCAATAATTGAAGTTTGTTGATAAGTGATGTATGGTTGAGAGGATGTTATATAGAAAAGCAACGCAGCAAATTTATTGAAGGATTGGGGTTGAGCGGGTGAGGCTAAGGTGGGGCCCTTTGGCTTATAGATTAGGGCAAGACTAGACAAATTGCCCTTTTTTTTTAAAAAAAAAATGTTACGTGAATCAACTCGTAGTATGTCTTCATCAAAATGTGATATTATATTTATATGTGTATTTTTTCTTTCTTAAATTTATGGTTACCTAACTCACTCCTAATTGGTTAAATTTGTTTTTGTTAATTATCATAAATTAATTTATGATTTATTTAGTCAACTTATAACACTATAAAAAAGTTTGTTATATATCAACGGAAAATCATATGGTATTATATTCTGATGGAAGTTCTGACGGACACTCCAATGGTATAGTTTCAGTTGTAATGATTCCAACGAAAATTCCAATGTGTTTTTCATTGGAATTTTAGATGAAATTTGATTATTCCAATGACTATATTTCCAGCAGCTTTGTACTGTAGGAACTTTCAATGACATATGCAATTTTCGTTGGAATTTTTATTTTCACTCCCGTTGGAATAGTCAAAATTCAACGAAAATTCCAATAGAAAATTTATTCCAACGGAATATTTTTGTTGGAATTTCCATTGGAATCCATTGAAAAATTCAAACGGAAAATATAGCATTGAAATATCTATTGGAATTTGTTTGTCCAATTTTTGTTACGTTTTTCGTGTCTAATTTCTCGTTCTTTTTCCCCCATTTTGGGTCATTTATGTGGTTTTAGAGTCGTTTTGTCGTTTATTTCGTGTTTCGCGTCTTTGTGAGTATTTCTGTGTTTTTCGATATTTTTCCGGTATTTCGTCATCGTTGGTGTGCAGGTTAGAAGTCCCGAGAGGATCGAATTTTTGGAAAAAATTGGCCGTGCAAGCATAATAAAATAGAGGGTTTCGTTGGCGACAAGCAGGAAAAAACGGAATCAAATTCCGCGTCCAAACGAGTATAAACGAGCCCGAAAAGTGAAGACGTGCACCAGCTGCCCAGGCCCCGGGCCCGTGTCGCGCCGCGCCGCTCACCGCGACCGCCGCGCCCGCGCCACGAGGCCAACAGAAGAAGACGTCCGCACTGTGCCGCGCCGTGACAGCCCTTCGCGCCGCGAGGCTGCCCTCCTCCGCGCCGCGATGCGCCCTTCCCCACGCCGTGATGTGCTCTTCTATAAATATATGTACGGGTTCCCATTCACGGAACACCTCTTGACCGGGGTGAAAACCCTAGGTCCCGAGAAAACACAAAAATCTCCCTCTCTTCCTCTTCTTTTCCTCTCATCTTCTCCATCGTTTTTCTTCCTTTCTTCACCCTTATTATCCATTTTTCTTCTTCTCCATCTTAGCTAGGAATTAAGCTTGTAATTCGAATTCAACATTTGAGCTTGGATTGATTGTAAGTATTCCTTTCTCTTATTTAATTCATGAATAATGGTTGATTTGAGAAGAATGATTATGTGTGTTGAATTTGATTTACGTAGCTAATTTCTATAGCTAGGGATAGGGGATGATTGTTCTTGTTTAACGTGCCTTTGTCGGGCTCATGATTGTTCATGCTTATGTGAGTTGAATTAATTCGGAATTGATATATTCTTGCTTGATTGATTGACATAATCAAAGAGTGACACTTCGATCTTGCGATTGGTAGCGATTGAATGTTAATTTGTCGAGTTAGGGTTTGTCAATTCTAAACGATTAGTTGATTAATCACCTTCTAGTCAATTAACGACTTTTAGAACCGAAAGGGGAGAAGTCGTAGACCTAGGCTCGCATGAGGTAGATGATTTCGTAATTGAATAGTCTATAGGTTTTGGATTGAAATACGTGCTTGTCAATGACCCGTCCTTTGTTACGAAAAGTTATTGGGACTGGGAAAATTGGCCTGTGTCGTATGCTCGAGTTTGTTCGTCTATGTTCAATTACGAAGAGTTATTGGGAGCGAACCGCTAGATGACTAAGCGAGAGTGTCAATCTCGAACCGAGCGGTTAATTGCTCGGCTTTGCTAGAACTTGAATTAATTATCTCTGACTCCCTAGCTTCTCCATCTTTGTTCCGTTCGCATTTTTTAGGTAGATTATTGCTTTTTATTATTTCTTAGTTAGTAATTATTCCATCCCTTATCTGATTAGAGTGTGTAGGATTTATTTTCTTTTTCTGTGCAATCAATACCAAAGTTAGATTCCGAACAGCCTTCCTCGAGAGATCGACCCGAGAAACGAATCTTTCGATTCGGTACTCGGTAAAAATAATAATTTGTGCTACAACAGAATTGTCAACGGAATAATTTTATTGAAATACATTTCCATTGAAATTTCATCTTTTTCTTGTAGTGTAAGGTTCAAGTAAATTTGCTTTGATAGGACGACAATTTAAGAACAAAAATGTTGGAGCTTCATTCATAAGCTTTCTTAAGTAGTCAAAAAATCCCGTTGTAATTTTTATTTTAGTTGACTTACCAATTAATTTTACCAAATAGTTTTATTACAAGTTACATTTTCAGCCACCAGTCATAAACTATCAGCTATAAGCTTGAAATTTACTTATAATTTGTCAACTATCAACTAGGTTTACCAACTATAGCCTAAACCACGAACTCTAATTAAGTTTTTTTACTAATTATGAAATTTCCAAAGCAGTGTACAATCCCTATCCTGAGTCAAACTGGCTACGGTTCCAGTCCCGATGGTCCTTTGGACCATTTACCAACCAACCTAGTCACTTCAGGTATTGATCATACCAAGTCTAGCCAGTTTGGCCCGATTACTCTTTGGAAATATTTTTATTTTTTGAATTGAATATATGTAAATATATATGTAAATATGAACATTAGTTTAGAAGTATTTTGATGACTCCTTTTTTNCGCCTTGGCCTCATTTTTCCAATGGTACTGGTCAAAACGACGACTTGGTTCTCCGGTGGTGTTGTCCTTGCTAGCTGATGTCCCTTGTGAGCTCAGATCTAAGCCTGAGGCTCGAGGGTCCTCATTTCGTCAAATCTGCCTAGCCAGTTCGAGTTGGACCAGAGTTTCCAAATCTGAGGGCTATAGATTTATGGTCCTTAGTTTGTCTATGGTTTTGGGGACCGGATCGTGTGGCGACAACAGTGAGTTTTCTAGAAGTGTAGTCTTTTTTCTTATTTTTCTTTAGTTGTTTAGAGCCCAGTTGTGTCTGGCCCTTCAATCTCTTTGTTTTGAGTTTTTGTTTCCTTCCGTAGGAGTGTTTATGTGTTCGTGTCAATTCCATTTTATTGATTGTGTTTCAAAAGGCCGGGAGGTTGATCCAAATTTTGTTCTAGTTATTCTGATGTCAGTTGATATCTCAGGTATTCTCTGTTTTCGAGTTTTATAATGCAATTATCGTTTTGAAAAATAATATTAGTTTAATTTCTTAAATGTAGTTACATTATAAATAAATGCCCCGACGACTCTTCTGTTGAACTGATAACTCATTGATCTAGATGCCAGCCTGAATTATTTGTCATGCCAAATTTAAGCTATGTTTGGTAAACAAATAAGGTAGCTTATAGTTTATTTGGTTAGCTTATAAGCTCCCTGTATTCAAATAAGCCTCGTTTGGTAGTAAAAAAACTCGAGCTTATTTGATAAGCTTCTTTAGAGAGATTTTCAAATAAGCTAGTTAAATTTCTTATTTCAGCTAGCTTATCAGCTAATTTTACCAAACACTTTTATCATATAAACTAGTTTTTCTGCTATAAATCATAAGCTATGAGTTAAAAAATTACTGATAAGTTATAAGATAGCTTATCAGCTATCAGCTAGCTTATCAGTTAGTTTTACCATACATAGCCTTAAAAACTTTGATATAAGGGTGTGTTTGTTTATAAATTATCTCAATTCATACTGAAAATATAACTCAACTTTAACACAATTCTACTATCGTCAATATTATCAATATTATTAAATGAATAAATAAAATCAATCATACTTATATATTACATTAACTTTTATTTACTATTCACCCAATCCCATAATTTTAATTAATTATTACTTCAAATCATCATTCTATTACTTCTATATTAAATCAACTTTAATTATTTTATTTTAAATATTATTTTAATATAAACTCAAAATTCTACTAACAAATAATCATATTAACTTTTCAAAATTAACCACAATTAACTAAAAATACATATTTTGAGCGAATATATATTTGTATCCAAGCATGTCTAAGGGACTGAGAGTAATTATGAAACTAATGTCACTGTTATAGATGGATTTTTTAGTAGACCAACTTGAAAATATATTAAGTGTTATGAATACTAAAAAAATAAAGAACACAAATATAGAAATCGGATATAATTTTTACTAATTTTTTTCTTCCTTTATTACTTTCTCTCTTTTCTTTTCTTCTTTTCTACATTTCATAATGCTCAATAAATTGAGCAATATTTATAGGTGAAGTACGTACACCTATATTGACATTTTTACACAAGTAGAAAATTCAAAATTAAATTTGTACAAAAAGGACTTTTGTTAGTCCATATTTTACAACACTCCCCCTTGGACTAACAAATAAAAGAAATGTACATTGGTGTTGCCTTAGTAAAAATGTGAGTTTATGCTGCCTCATCTTGAAATGTATCTTGTGGCCATCAGGTACCGTTGCTTCAGCATGTTAGGAAAACCCGGTGGGACAAAACCTGATCATCGTGGAATCATAACATTGTTTTCTCAGGAAAACCCGGTGGGACAAAACCTGAGCATTGTGGAAGCACAACATTACTCCCCCTCGAATAGATCATCTGTAGTGGAGTATACATATGCTGCCTCGTTAAAACCTTGTCAAGAAAACCCAGTGGGAAAAAACTTGATCGAAGGAAAAAGAGTACAGCTAATCCAGTCTCTCTTATCATCGTGAGGAATCATATCATTTATTCAGTAGTCCTCATCATACCATGAATATGCCTCGTTAAAACCTTATTAGGAAAAACCCAGTGGGACAAAATCCTAATGAAGGAAAAAGAGTACACTATTCATGTGAATACGCCATCCATGTTACCTCATTAAAAACCTTGCTAGGAAAACCCAATGGGACAAAACCTCAGCCAAGGGAAAAAGAGTACAACGCGTA